CCCTCACCGCCCCATATACCCCCCTCACACGGCCTCACTGCCCCATATACTCTCCTCACACGGCCTCACTCTGCGTCGTTTAACCCTTTTTCCTTAACATGTGATTTACAGGCATGTATTGTAGAATATGATAAATATTTTTTTATATGTTTAGTACACAGAGCAGCATTTCAAGTCTTGGTTGGTTTCACTCTATCCACAGGGTTCTCGTGATCTGGCATCATTCCCATTGGGATTCAACATGTTGAGATATTTCCGACATTCCCACATTCTCCAGGTAAAGCCAACTCCATGTTTACCTCAGTTAAGGGGCCGGAAATCTCGCACAGACCCTCCTGCCAAGTCCAAGGCGTTGCGTATTAAATACCCCCCTCCAGTATGTGTGGAGGAACTGCTGAATGTGAAACAGCGATACCATCAATACAGAACGATTCTGGCCGCTGTCAGGTGGGTATATTACAGCAAACCTCAATCGACCATGTTTACTTTATTTAAAGTCGCAAATTCACAGAAAAATCTATTGGGAAGTTTTTTTAAAGCCTGCTGTTTTTCTGACCATCCTGTTCAATAGTGGATTTAGTAAACATCTTCATGTATCTTAAATGAGTTATTTACAAACATCTTGGTCGCCACTTTCCCTGCACAGAGCAGAATGCAAAGAAGAAGTTTTAAGGACCAGATATGAGGACCAGGTGGGATCTTTGGCTGAACAGCGCCATCGCCAGGAGAGTGAAGAGCATAAAGCTTTGATGGATTGGAACAGAGAGCAGAACCGGATCGCCTTACACAGGAGGTTAGTGGCATATGTGGGGTGTGATGTTTGTTGAAGAGGAATCTGTTGGTAAAGTGCAGGGTTCTGAGAGGCGCACTTCACTTACTCTTATTGTAATTGCAAGTTTGTTCTCTTTCTCTACTCAGCACGTGATTTGGTATACAGTGGGATGCTTTATCTCTTCTCAGTTCGCATTACTCCCTCTATGTGCGCGGCAGTCCGTGTGGTCCCTTTAGTGGAGCTCCCTGTACTCTGGCTGGGTACATCTGCCAAGGATCACTTCCTAGCTGGAACCAAGGAAAATCTCAGTGCTTCAGCCCCAGTCGCCGTGGCTTGACTGGGGTCCTCCTGGAGCCTCTCCGTCCTGGAACAGGATAGAGGACTACCTCTAATTCCTCCCAAGGACTGGACGACACATAGTCCTCGGAGCTCTAGTCCTTACAAGAACTTTCCCTGCCGAATCCTCCTCGAGCTGGAACAAGGTGCTAAGCAGTGATTAGCCCTTCTCCCTGTAACTAGACGACACATAGCTCTGGGACTACAATTGACTTTAATGAGCCAAACTTGGCCTTTTAAGTCTCCATTGTATTCAACACAAGCGTTAAAGACCGTTAAGCCAATTATCTTCCAGGAACATAGAGGCAAACACAAAAAATACCCCAAAACATCATAAAAACATACAATAACCCCACAAATAATACATCCCCCAATATACCTGATCTGAGCGCCCAAGTTGTCCAAATAGCGCTCAGATCCATGCAGTGTAGGGGAAATGCCACTGTGTTAAAGTTCTAACCGGCCGCACACGTGGTGCTATGACCAAAACAGTTCCAGGGCGTTTGGTGCTTTTTCTGGTCAACTTTCAGGAGCTCCTGCGACTGCAATACGGTGTGCCCGCCTGGCTCTCAGGTAGCCCTTAGTCTCAGGCACCTTCCCTCCAAAAAG